CTCAGCACTGAATATTACACAAGTCAGCTACTGGCTCCAGGGCACAATGACTGCAAGGGAGAGCAGGGACCCAAGAAAGTCCATGTTGTGAAGGTGGGTCCACTCCCAAAGAAAATTATTTTCCTGGGTCTCCACTACCAAGTCAATCCTGCTGCACCTTCCTCCTGCATCCACTTCTAACAGCTCAAGACTCTTTCAGAGCCACACAGAACAAGGCAGCCTGCTTGTGAGACAGAATCACAAACAGAGTTTCAGTAGTTTCTATTAAAAAAATGAAAGCTAAAATTTAGCTCTAGCATCTGTGGACTTGGACACAAACATGTTAAATATAAAACTGAGCTGTCTATAAAAGCTGCTCTGAAAAAGAAATCACTGCAGAAGATGCCAGTTAATCCCCTTTCACTGCTCCACTTAAAAAGGTCTTCCTGACTAGAGGCTTGCTATCACTGCTGCCTGAGCACAGACAGCTAATTAACAAGGAGGAACTGCTCCATATTATTAGTAGCAAGATATTGATTTTACTGTTATCTTGTTCTCTGATCCAGTCTTTTGCCAGCTTCTTTTCATCTGTTGGGCACTGCCATTTTCCCAGATTGCAAGGTCTCCAGACAGCATAATTTGTTTGTGCAGTGCCTAACACAAAGGAACCATTATGCTTCACCAAATCTCAGGTGTTCATGTAATGAGAGCCCATTATAATATTGCTTTTAAGGTGGTCACAAGTTCTCATGGCACATTATGACAGTACATACACTTCACTTAAAACTCACTCAAAATTTTAAAGTAATTAAAAGTATTTTGCTTCTGTGAAAAACAGAATAAAAAAGAGGTTTAAAACTCTTTTTCTTTCTTAAATCTGAAAGATTTTATGACCTGAAAGATCAATGAAATGTAAAGAAAATATCAAAAAGGAGATATTTTTCTCTTTTGATTCCTTTCCCCGTTTTCCTTCATACGCTATTTTTTGGTTCATATTTCTTGCCCTTACTGTGTTTTTATCATGTCCCTCTGTGTCCTTGCAAAGTTTGTTTTTCCTCAGAGAGTCAACACTTTAATAAGAACACCTTTCAAGGGGAGAATTAGCTAGAAAATATTTGAAGGGAGAAAAAAAGAAAAGGGCCTGGATCTGAATACTCAATCCTGAATGTATAAAATTGCCTTTTCTAAAAGACTATGAAGGGTTGTTAGTAAACAAACATCATTCCTTCTGCTTCCACTGCTTCATGTTTATTTACAGGACTGATGTATTTTAAAAACACCCAGTGACAAAGAGTATTATAAGGTAAATTTAAGTTCAAACTTAATGAAATGAATTCCAGAGACATTACAGTTTCATACTGTACATAAGTATTCATGAAGGCAAAGTTAATATAATACAGTGTAACGAGAACTTAAGTAATTTTCATACTAGGAAAGAAGTCTAATGTCATTCCAGTTTATACTGAACTGCAGAGGGATATCTCCTTATAATAAGACATACGACAGCGATGAAAAGGAGTTCAAAATCCCTACAGTGAGAATTACATGATATCCTCCAAATGAGTTTCCACTTGACTCTTGGCTGAGTCAACACTTGTGGCTTTTTAGTATCTTCCAAAAGGCTCTTCCAAACGTACATCTTCCAGCATTTAAAGCAGTTCACACGTTTAGAAAAGAATCAAACATTTCTGGAAAGCAGCTTCTCCTTTTAGACACAAGGACCCCAAATAAAGCATATAAGCTTGACTACTTTTAGCATAATGCATTAAAGATGAATTTTAATTAATTACTCCCCATAATAATGATGTTTTTAAAAAGGCACCTTATAAAGTTTTGGAAAATGAAAGTATTGAACATACTTTTGAAGTTTCTCAAATTCTGGGATTTTTCTATTTATGCCAAAATATTTTTCCTTAAATACAGCTAGTAAAACTCTAATACACAATCAAATCTATTAAGCTGCACTGTAATTTTAAAAGAATTTTTATTCACTGCTAATTTCTAATCTGTTTTGAATACATAGCTTAGTGTAGCAGAAGCTAGTAATTATTTCCCTGATACAGCAGCTTTTTATACATCACACAATGTTGCAATCTGCTATCTTTTGAGAAGTGCTGCTGTCATTTTCGAAACACCTCAGTACAAATGCCTCGAAAACACAAAAGCTAAGTCAGGAGAGCCAATGTAAATTTAGATTCAGAGAAGCACTACTTATCCCAACTTTTATATTTTTCTCTGTGTACAGAACTGCCACTTCAGACAAAGGAAGATGATTACACAGTTTACTAAAGAGGACTTTCAGACATAAAAAGACACCAGGAATATAAAGCAAAAAACAGTGGTTGGTCTCGTTGAAGACTGTGTGGACATCTGTCACAGGTCAAACTACCAGCCAAACCTGTCATGACCAGCAAGGAGCTATGAAGAGGAGTATGGTCTGTTTCCATTTGGCTGAACAAACATCTTGGGAATAAACAATGCAGGAAGAATAGCATACAAGTCCAAGCTGCATTGAAAAGGAAGGTATCTGGATGAGAGTAAGGATTTCTAGCCCTTCGATGGTTTCTGGGGTGAGGAAAGGTCTATCTAGAGAGGTCTTCAATTAAAGGAATGGAAATCTACAGCAAGCACACAGTAACAGTGACATTTGTCCAGTCTGAAACATAAAGGCTGCTGTGCAGTGAGGTTATGCCATATGGGCAGAACCACCTTTGTACTACACATTAGAGAAGTTATAAAATGCACTTTTCCTAGACTTTTTTGTGCAGCAGTAAGTGTCAGGAGACAGACAAGACCGCCATCCTCATGTTCATCTAGGAAGATGTTACAAGAATGCTACTGTCTAAAGAATTATTATAATATTAATGTATCAGTTTGGTAAAAAATAAAGTTAGAAACCAATACTGGCTGTCAGGTTTCAGTGAGACAGAAGTACTTTCATCTTGAAACCATACCAATCTGGTCAGCCTAGATTTTAACAACTATTTGAAATATAGGGTTTTTTACTCAGTACTGCTCTGGAATCTATTCCAGATGATCTGGCTACTGACCCTGCCAGCATGACAGTTCCTTAGCTCACCAGTGCCCATGGCCTTGCTCCTACTGATCGATACTCAAAACAACTCTGAAAGCTTTAGAGATAGGAAAGGTCTTGCCATTCTTATTAGCGGAGTCCAACATGCCCTCAGAAGTGAAGTTAATATTATCTTCATGCCTGATGTTGCCCAGCTTGGTGTCAGATCTCTTGGCCTTTGAATCAGTGCCAGTACAGTTGGTGCAGTGGCTACTAAAGAGAAAGAAAACCTGAATCTGCCATCCTGCTGTCTATCCTGGTAGTCATGGGAGTATTTCAGAGAGATTTTTAGCTGAGAAACCAAAGGGAGAGATTGCCCCTGGCCACAGCTGTACTACAACTGAGTCCTTCTGCTGCACTTTCAAAAACACATTTTCAAGAAATAAACATTGTTTTTATGAATTGTTCCAAAATAAGCAATTTGAACTCTGTCCTCCACCTAAAAAGGGTGGAAGGAAAAGCAAACAAAACACTTCAGAGACACTTCTTGAAGAGGAAATGCATACACTGTGACTTAGAACGTAATGGTCTCAGACGACAGCTTCTTAATAGGTTTATATGGACTCCAAGTGGTGACTCCCCCTTTCCATACATCCCACTGCCCCATTTCTTTTTAAAACTAGGGCTTATTATGTACTGACAGAAAATGAATGGGATCCAGTACTTGCTTAAAGTGTGGCATTACTGATCTGCTTTGCTAATATGGTATGCTGTCATATAATGCCTTACATATATTTATAGAAGTAACCGAGTATATGCTACCCTTTACTTACATGACCAGTTCTCAGAAAGGTCCTTTAACAGTATGGTACATTCTTCATTGTCTCAACTACTTCTTGCTCTGAGCATTTTATATATTCAAGCTCTCCCACTTATGCAGTTTTTGGTATTTTCTGTATTTCTTATGGCTGTCAGGAAAAGGATAGTCACTGGGGACACACTACTGACCACACTAAATTAGGAATCAGTTGTTCAGCTCTTAAGAGTAATGTGACATCCTCTTTCTAAAATAGCATGAAGATTTTCTTTCATGCACATTCTGGTCTCTTTTTCTATTCAAAGCATATTTCAAGAAAAGCCTGCCTGAGGAAACAAACTAAAGCCATCAATAGAAAAACCACCACAGAAACTTATTGGAGGGCAATAAAAATTAAATAGCTTTTTAAAGAGCTCTCAAACTTAACAATAAAAGCCAATTAAAATTGTCTACACTGATTTAATTTGTAACAATTCTATTTCAAACAAACCATGCTTGGTTGTTGGTTAGGCGCTCAAAGCGAAAATGACACTTTTCTCCTCTACCAATATATACTTCTCCCATCTCAAACACTTGGCAAAGACACAGGGAGAAGCTGACCACCCCTATTTGATGTGGTGGTTGTATGATGAGGTGAGCTGAGGAGAAATGTGCTCCAAAATGGAAGAGCCCTCATAAAGAACTCTTTTGGCAGATACTGCAACCAAGCCTCTAAACACAACATCCTTGACCATTATTCCTATGCTGTTCATACCAGAGTTTCTCAGAAAAAGAGATGCATCTTAAGACGCCTACTGTCAAATGGGAAACTTCAGTGAGTTTCAGAAGCTGCTAAAAAAAAAAAAATCAGCAATACAATAAGCATAACTGGAGCATGCTTATGGGAAAATACTCAAATTTTACCTCATATCCCCCAAATCATTCACTTCTTTCCTCACCAGTTTTATTTTCCAAACAGGTTTAAAGGCACAATGCAGCAGCTCTTGAGAGAAAACAGAAATGTATCAAGAATGGAAATGTACTTTTCCAGTGTATTATGGAACAAACACAAACTCTTTACTCAAATGAGTTGAAGTTCTAAGTTTCACATGCAAAATGCCACTAAAGTCAATGGACCTACACATATGAAAATGAAATGTGAGCAAGTGCTCACTAACACAAAGGTTTACAACCTTCCACTTGATGACTTACCTTGAGGTTGCAATTTCCACTTTGGTTCTTGCCATGGCAGCTGCTCGCTGTGCACCCTCTATTGCTCTATCCACCTTTTCTCTAGTTTTTGTGTTTCGTATTGGTATAAGTTGCTTTCTTATTCCACGGACCAAAATGTTATTTTTGTACTTTCCCTCTTCTTTGGTGCCATCTGGAAACATGGTACATCCATATCCATGCCTCCTGTTATTCAGCCACTCTCCTTCGTATTTCATACCATTTGAACGCTCACTGATACCAAAACCGCTGCGCTTATCATTCTTCCATTCACCCATATAGGCTTCCGTAGTGGTAGCATCAACATGGTCTTCCAGAGGGCTATAATCACAGTCACCATCTCCAAAACTAATTGTAGAGTTGGCATCACTAGAACTAATTCTGCTCATAGCAGCATCGCTCCTGACAGAGCTCCGTTTGCTAGATATCGATGACCTAGATTCCGATTTTCTAAGTTTTATACTACCAAGAAGGGATCCTCTTCTGAATAAGCCTCCTTTTTTCTTAATGCCCATGGCTTCTGCATCACTGTGAAAATTGAGCACAAATCCTCCTCTTGTTCCAGCCGGACTGTCTGAAGTGACATCATGCAGAACAGTGCCATTGCTCTGCTCACTTCGAAGTGACGCCAGAGATGTTCGGAGAGGTGAACGGATCACGGTGGCCATGCCATAGGGTACACTCTGACGTACACCGTATCCATGTCTCATCCCTCCTGTCCACTGCCCCTGGTAGGTACCTTTTAAAGTAATAAGAAGTTAAATTTAGGAAGCTGTAGAAGACCTAGCTCTCTCCATCCAACATGCTACAGGCAACACTACATTGTCAGCTCTGATTTCAGTAAGAAGAGATGCACACGGCACAGACAGATAAACTACTTTCGTTACTTGTTTTTCTTATAAATTATTTTTCCACTTAGCAAATCCTTCACTTTCACAGCTGATTTATTTTGGCAACTGAGACACAGTAACTATAAACACATAAGCATTTTTTTAATGGATCTGTCCACAGAAAAAAAAATTGATAAAATTTCTAAAGCAGGACTCCCTCAACATGTTTTTAGGGTGGACCAATAGGAAGGTAGCCAGCAGAAACAGGGACACACTCTATACAGTCAGCTGAGGAGGGAGAGAGGGCTGGAGAGAAGGGAAAGAGTAGGACACTTACAGCTCTTGTGCCAAACTGCTCACAGAAAGAGCAAATAGAAGTAACCATTCTGTTATTGTGGGTTTAGGGTGACTACAGACCTCTCCTCCTCAGGAGCTATTTGACAATGCCCTCAATTGTCTTCAGACGGGCTTTTGGATCCACTGTCATAAACCTCTATTGTAAAATTAAATCTTTTAAATTTTTTGTGTGGATTGGAATGAAAGGACAAAACTTCAGGACTCCTTTCTCTTTATGAACTCTTCACACTAACACTTTCTGGTATCCCCAGTACATAAACTTGCACTGCATTCTGTGCTGTCACAGAGGGATCAAAAGCATGAATTCTTTAGCCCTTTTTTTTTGCTTTTCATTTGTTCTGCAGTACGTAGGAAAGGCAAGGCACTAGCACAATATTGCACAACATTCTAGCAAACATTTAATCATAACTACTCTTGTAAAAATTTTAAACAGCAACGTAAGGAGGAAGTAAGGGATACAAGATGAAAAGTCATGGGTGTCCAAGCAAAGCTACACTGGAGCCAAACCCCACCTACATCATATTACTATAGCAATTTTTTTTCTTGTATTCTCAAAAGGCATTATAATTCTGATACCTGCCAGTGTCTGCTCTCTGAAGGCCTTTTCTACCAGAGGCTCCAAAGGAAGGTGGCATGAATGCCATAACTAGCAAATAGAAGATAACTTGTGTTCTGATTTAATTTCACTCTAATTCCTATTAAACTACTTTAAGCTCCTCAAAATGAAGTAGCTCACCCACCTAGTGCTGGTTTTTTGTTGTTTTGTTTTTGGGTTTTTTTTTTAAGCTACTTTTGAGTATTTTCACAGAGGGATGAATAAGCAATCTTTAATTTTTTAAAAATTTTGATCTACTACAATTGGAACACCTATTAAGTATTTAGGGAATTAAGTATCAAATGTCAAATTCAGTGATTGATAAAGTTTCTGTGAAAATATTTGTGACATATCTGCAGTTGAAGATGTAGAACCAAGATTAATTTGCTTTGAGATTTAATCTCTTCCATATATACATATTGTTTTGGCTTTTTACGTGTCCACCATCTATAAGGTACTGCCTTAATCTTTACTGCTTCTGCTAACTTTTATTTCAGTGTTAACACACAATTAAATTTGCTAAATCTGTTTTCTTTATTATATAATACTAGATAGGTTCCAAAACATAACTGTTGTGTGTTGGTAGAGAATTTTACCAAGTGGAAGGTTTTTGTTTTAACAGATGGCTGCTGACACAAACAAACAACTTTCTTAGTTTCTTTCTCATTCTCTGTATCCTGGATACCTACTGCTGTACTGGTTGTAAGGGTGCCGAATCTAGGAACATGATTATTTTAAAAAACTCAGCATATGGGGAAGAACAAATAGAAACATGAGCACAAAGCACTGGTATGACATGTTCTGTAAATACTGCAAATACACAGGCACATTCTAATCTTTTTTTTTTTTGTTGTTTCATTAAACAGAAAATTCCCGGAAACACATTAATATTTTATGAGCATAAATTACTTCATTTTGTCCCTAATTATTTCTGGGATCTGTAATGATATGGTGGAACTAAGAATCTGGCTACATACACTTATTGCTACATATTGTAACTCCCTTAATGTTCTGCACTAGTTAATTTAATTTTGAAATAATAAATCTAAGTCTAATTTTGATTATACCACAATATTACATTAGAGCAGCATCTCATAATTATGGCTCTCCATGCTGCTTACAGTGTCAGACTTTAAGCACAATCAACTTATTTCAGTACAGAATTTTAAAGAAGTAAAAAAGGCCAACCTTTTTTTCTTACTAATATTTTAATTAATAAATGCTTTTAATGGAAAGCTAAAAAATACTTAATTGATGGGGGACTTGCACTTTTCACTACTCTAGAAAGAAGGGAAGTGGTTGCTGCTGCCCATAAAGGCATTAAAATAAGAACAATTAATGTGCTTCTATCCACTAGTCCAATTTTCCTTTCTATTGGGTAAAAAAAAGTCAAAGTCAGCTTCTTCTAAAGAGAAAATAGTAAAAAAGAAAATGGAAGATTCATACTCATCTTGTCCTTAAAAAGTATGAGATATTTAGGTTGAATTTTATGCAGTGTAGCAGGTAACTATTATCCCTTGTATCATTACAAATCCATCAGTGGAAAGGCTTCTGATACTAACGCTAAAAAGCATCTCATTTTCCTTGGTTTTTCAACTCACATATTAAAGGAGAAGTATTTTAATAACATATGGAGAGCAGTGTCCAGAATGTAGGTACAAGAACCTTGTATAGTAATTTGACTGACTAGATCAGACTTTAACTGCATCACCTTCTTCAATAAATTTTAGAAATCTTTAAACAAGACAAGGTATGTTAATATTGCAATATAATTAAATACAACGATGTATAAGACACGGTGAAAAAGCTTTTCCCATATATAAAGATGAAAACATATGCAGTATTTACCCATCTCTTTACATAGAGATGAATATGAACGATACATCAACAAACACCACATTCTGTTTCACCTTATACCACAGCTGACTGTTCAAATCAGTTGCTCTAAGGGTCGATTATTAAAGTTTTAATTAACACTGTGATGGCCAACATAATTTAAAATTGTATTTGACCATAAAATAGTAACCTTGTTTCACACTAAGTTTTCAAAAGCTAGGCTTGCTATCCTTTGCAATTGAAGAAGCATTCAGCCACACTACTGACCATCCATATGGTGTTTAATTTGCTCTCATGAAAAGGTGTTCATATTTTGAGCCCAAGAGCTATTACAAAGTATATTTTTTTTTCCTTTTCTTTTTGTTGGCAAGTTGCTGTAAGATATAATTTCATAATCTGTTTCCTTAGTTACAGTGTTCCACTCCTTCTAAAACACCCTTGGTGCATCTTACAGCTGTAAATGTCATTGCCCACTTGCAGCTAAAATTTAAAACTACACTGTGAAAAAAAACGGAGAGGCCAAGGACCCATTTAACTACTCCACTGACTCTTATCCTTTACTTGGATATTCTGTGGTTTAAAAAAAATTTGTTGTTACATCACTGACTCAAATGTTAAATAAGTGCAGACCTAGGAAGAAGACCTCTCAGAAATCAATGAACATATGTGACCTTTGCTCAGGGTGCTTTTGCCCCTGATCTCCCTCTGTGAAATGACAAAATGCAATTGGCTTTTGCAGTTGTTGGAAGGACCATAAATAACCAACTCAGACATACTGAAGTTTCGTATTATGCCACAGTCCTTCCTCCGGTAGGTTTTGCATCTTCACACAGATTAAAAAAACATAGGGAGTTTAAAGGAGGCACAAAAATCCAGATTGCTGCAGGGGACAAGATTGATGGGCCACTTGCAGGCCCACTGTAATCACACGCAACGAATGAAGTATCACGGTTTATAATTCAGTGTTTTCCTCAGAGATTTGACTGAGTGACAATTTTAAGCATCTAAACACAGCATGACATACATTACTCATATCATGAAGAGTTTTGTGTGCAAAAACTGAGGAACACTGTCAATGCTTATTTTCCTTTTCCCTCCTTCAATGATATCTCGTAATACCACAAATACATTTTAAAGCAATGTATGAGGATATACTAAAAACAAGCAAACAAAAAGCTAGCAGCAAAGAGGCCTGGATTATAGTGAGTTTGAAAATAAACTGGCAACTGACATAGCCTAAAAAGTTATTTCTCTACACTGGTATTCTCCAAAATTCATGAAGAGAGAGCTTTACTGCAACTGTTTTAAATTATGTTAAAGATACATGTGAAAATCTGGTTTCCTTATAAACCCATTTCAGATGTTGTTCTGGTGTGCAAATACATCTATTGTTCCCAGAGCATGAAAACAAAAACACATCTGCAAATATCTATGACGTACTGCTCTGCTTCATTCATGAGTACTTTCATTAAAATCAATGGGACTTCACAGCCTGTTTGTATGAACTGCAACATGCAAAAGACTGGAGTCATGACAACAGATTTCAGCTAACAGTGTCAACTGGAACCTTCATACGCTGTTCCAAGTCTAAATACTGAGAGAATTTACCTCCAATAACCAGTACTATATTTAGAGTTTTAAAAAAGCCCCAAGAAACCTAAAGAGAAAAGGATAAAAACAACTTTGAGAAAATAATTTCTGGAAGATTTTCTGGAATGGTAATTTACTTTTCCAGAAGGGGAGGGAAGGGAAAAAAGAAAAAAAAGCTACTGCCTGTAATTAGCCAAAACAAATATAATAAAAATTGAAAAGTACATTGTATGATGAAAGTGAAATAGTGAAACCGAAATTTTGATCTCTTTCATACTTTGATTTTGGTAGGGTTTTTTTTTTTTTTTTTTTTTCTGTTGAATCCACAAACACATAGCTGCCTTTGACTATCAGAGCTTTCCCTACCAAGAAACAATTTTTGGACAGCTACAAATATCTCTAAACAAGGGGATAGAAAGGTACAAAACCCACTGCGCATTTCATTGCCTGAAGGAACTGAATCTTACCAAGTTGCTACATTTTATATTTCCAAAAAGAAAAAAGAGGAGCCCAGCTACAACTATCTCATGTTCTGCTTGATACAAAAATGCCCATTCTCCTGAAGGTTTGACTAGAGATCATCTGACAAAATTCCTTGAAGAAACCAGCAAAACAAATCAGTTAAGAGCTGATACACGGGTTAGTCCTTTAGTCATATCACGTGAACTCTGAATTCGGTAAATTCTATTATTTGCCTGGTAACTGAACAAGTTGCTGAACGCCGAGGCAAGCACCATTTCTGTTAAAAATCCCAGAACACTCTAGTCCTAAAACTGAGCCCCGTTTTTCCTCCTGTTACACCAGAACAAACCTGCTCCCTTGTTCCTAGCTGAAGAGCAACTCTTCAAAAGTTGCAGGTGGCACTTCCACCGAGGCCAATAACATTTCAGCAGCAAAGGCGGAATTAGAGTATCAGGCGTATTTACCGCTCAGAGCATGGAGTGACAGAGGCACAAGAACTGCAAGTGAGCACTCAAGTAAGCTCCAGTCCTCACTGACCTCACTGAACCCTGACTTCTTGACCGCTCCCGACTTCAGCAGAGGGCGGATGGCCGCGGCCCCTCCGCACGCCCACGGCGAGCTCAGCCCTGGGACCCCGGCTTTGTCGTGGGGAAGGCTGTGAGAGGCACGTCTGTGCGACTGCACTGCACACCTCGTGCTCTGAGCACGACGCTTGAAACTAACCCTATTTATCTCCATTTACAATTCTGGTAAAAACAGGAGTTATTACATGAGGGTGGACCCAAGTTTCATTGATTTTACACAAGCTGCGTCCCCACTCCATCAGCTCCAGCCTCCTGTTTACAAGCCGAGCGCATCGAGCGCACAAAGCCACCCCTGCCTGCACACCAGCGCGACACAAGGGCTCTATTACAGCAAGTTCTTGCCGTTCCCGCACGACCGCGGTGCGCAGGGGGCGAGGTGCCGGGGCTCGCCCCCCTCGCTGGCTCCCGGAGCCGGGCGCGGCCACCCGGCCATCGCTACCTCGGGCAGGGAGCCCATAAGCCGCCCCGGCGGGGAGAAAGGAAAGCCGTCTGCAGGCGGCCGTAATGCGGATTTCTACCAGCTGGCCGGGAGAAAGCGCTGAGCCCGGACAGCTCAGCACGCTCGGAGCGCAGCAGGGGCCAGGCGGCTCCTCACAGAGTGGGGCGGGGCGGGCGCCAGGCACCTGTGGCGCTCCCCCGCCGCCAGCGGGGCCTCGGGGGCGCCGAGCGAACGGCGCCGGGAACGGCGCTCGGCCACGGGCAGGGGAAGGAGACGAGACCCCGGCGCGAGGGCGGCGATGGGCGCGGGTGGCGGAAGGAGGGCCCCTCCCCGCGGCGCGCCCACGCAGGCGCGCCCCCCACCCCCGTTCCCGCCCGCCCCCCGGCGCGGCCGCGCGCGGGGCGCCCCCCGCCGGCGCCCACCTCCGTCCCCGTAGGTCTCCACGCCGTATCCGTCCTGCAGCCCGTTGCTCCAGGTGCCCTCGTAGCGGGCCGGCGTGCTGAGGCTCTGCCGCACCCCGTAGCGCCCCTTGAAACCGTGGGACCACTCGCCGCGGTACATCCACCTGCCCTTCGTCTCCACGCCCAGCCCGTGGCGCTTGCCCTGCGCCCAGTAGCCCAGGTAGGTGTTGCCGCTGGGCCAGGTGTAGCCGCCCGCCACCTCGAAGCCGTGGGACCAGGAGCCGGCATACTCGCCCTGCCCCTTGGGCCCGGTGCAAATGCCGTGCCCGTGGGCTTTCCCGTCCTCCCAGCCGCCGCAGTAGGTGCCGCCATCGTCGAAGTCGAACCGGCCGCCCGTCATCCAGGGCAGCGGGGCGAGCGCGGCGCCGCCGCCGCCTCCCGCCCGCCTTCCGCTCCCTTCCCCGCTCCGCCTGCCTCGCCCTGCCTTCCCGCCCGCCGCCCGACCGACAGCCCCGGCGCTCCCCGCAACTGCGAGCGCTCCGCCGGCCGGCCGCCCGCGCCCAGCCCAGCCGCAGCCCCGCGGCGGCGAGCGGCGCCCGCCCCCCGCTCCTCCCCGCCCGCCCCTCCGCTCCCGCCCGGGCCCGCCCCCGGTGTGGCCGCGCCGCTGCCGCGGGGCAGGTGCGCTCCTGGGGGCCGGGATGGGGCTGCGGCCGCCGCGCCTGGGCGAGCTCGTGCCCCGGGAGCAGCCGTCTTCGCCCGCTCGCCCCCGGGGAGGTCTCCGTATGCCCTCCGCTCCCGGGAAAAGGTGCCCCCCGCTGGCCGGGGGCGGGGCGAGCCGGGAGCGCGCATCCGGGCCGCGGCCCCCGCCGTGCCCGGGGGGCGGTGGTGGTTCCGTGCTCGCCGCCCCTCGGGTCCCCTAGGTGCTGCTGCACCTGCTAGCGCCTGCAACAAGTGGGCAAAAAGAGAGGATTTCCGAGTGCTACTTGTGATTCTTAGTTTTGGTTTTGTTTTTTATTTCTTACTTGCTTGACGACGAGGCTTAAGCCGAAATTGTTAATGAAGAGCACAGCCGAGTTGTGTTTTGTCACTTTTCCAAATCTTCTGTGGAGCCCACCAAGTTCCACGGGTGGGGAAATAACGGGGCGAAAAGAACGTGAGTGGTATCGACGCTTTTCACGAGCAGCATTGCTGGGAACTTCATTAGGAGCCTTTCATTATGCTATCGGCTCCGCGGGCATCAGGCGACTGAAGAGCTCTAAATCCTGCCAAGTACTTCTTTGCCAGATATTTGATAATCAGATAAAAAATTGTGAGGGCAAATGACAGGAGAAACACGTAAGCATAGGAACTGCAGAGAGAATAGCAGGGAAGGGATTGAAAGCTGCTGTCACGGTATTGTAGCTTTCTGTTCTTTCGCAGTTACAGACCAGGACTGGAAAAAAATATGAAAGAAAACGTTCCTCTTTGATGGGAGTATTGTTAGAAGCATGATTCATATTTGTTAATCATGGGTCGTGGTACTGTCTGGACACAGATGATTTGGAAAAGCAGAGAAATAACAATGGCTATATTAGTAGTGATGAATGAAAGCAGAAATATAATTGCAAGTGGAAGATTTGAATTCAAAACATTAGAAATTGAAACAGTTAAGCTTCAGAAATCTGCCAAATTCATCCCAAATGTAAGCAGTTTTGACTTAAACCTAAATGAAACTATTGCACATACTAAACACACCCATGTAACTTGAATAAATTTTCAAACTTTGTGCTTCACAACTCACTCTTCTGTGTACATTTTTATGCCATGTTTAACACAGTTTAGTGCCAAAGTATTTCTGCTCTTTCTAGTTGGACATCATAACTGGTACTGTTGTCTCCTGTCATCAAAAGATCTGGGTGCTTCAAAGCCGCCTTTCTGTGCCAGTAAGGATTTCTAGTTCTGCTTGAACATGTGGAGGTAGAAGACAGCACCCACATTTGGACACATACATAGAAAAAGACACAGTCTTTGACTTGTGCCGTTTCATGAGAAGATGGAGAAGCTTTCAATACCCCTTTGAGCCCAGAAAATTTTGTTCTATAGTTTTGGAGTGTAGAAAACCAGGCAAAAATGTTGTTTCTGTAGCACAGACATGCATTTCATGCATCATTGGACAAGGCTACGAAGTGTGCTGAAGTTAAGGACTGAGACCTTCACTGCAATATGGTATTTTTAGAAAGTTGTTATTGAGAATGGAGGGGAAGTTTGAAAATATTGCGGTGGGTGGGATTGCTGAAGAAGATACAGTGAAGTATTCTCTGAATGTTGTTTGAGCTTACTGGATTTTATGCTCTACATGTCTTGCATATCTTCCTGAAGAAAGACTGGAAACAATAGTGGTGATAACACATGTGCTTTGAGGCATTTACTATTTTCACTCTATTAATTTTTTTTCCTGGTTTTTTTTTTTTTTTTCCTTCTTCTGGCAGAAGATAAAGCCCTGTCATGTTTGATCAGAATTACAGAAGATTGAAACACTTTATGTGGTTGTGGGGAACTACCTCTTGGAAGTCAGCTTGCATAATAGCTGATACTGGTGTACAATGTACATTGATGTTGCCTGTTCATAACTGCATGTTATTCTGTGAGCAGACTTTTTTAAGTTTTCATGATTGAACTGGAGCTGCTGAGCATTGGGTGTGTCTGTTATGGGGCTACCATTGCTTTGCATAGTGTTTCTGGGTGCTATGTGCAGAAATGAAGTGTAAAGCCAGAATTGCCTTAGACACCACTTCTGTGCCCTGTGCACAGCCAGTACACAACCAGCACAGAGGGGAGCAGAGGTGGGGTGTGAGAAAGGGTTAGAAAATCCAGACACTGCTGCTGCAGCTCAGCAGTGGAAGAGGTGGGTCTGATGAGGGACTGGGAGATTCACCCTCCTCCATTCACAGCTCCTCTGTGGATCTGAGCTGCTTCTTTGAAGGACCTGCTGTGTCCCTCTGCCCACTGGCCTAGACAACAATCATGGTTGTGCAAGTCCTTTGCCAAGCTTGGTATCACTTTTGGTTCAGCATCAGTGAATAACTGGATTTGCTGTTATAAAGGCTTGGGTAATTGCACCCCTGATGTGTTTTGGTATTGTTACTTAGTGAAGAATTGTTTATCCCTAAAGCTGTTGATGTATTGTCTCTTACAGTATCCCAAACCTATAGCTAATCGGGGCTGCTTAAGTTCTTACATCTGTACAGTAGATCTTGTACCATTGCAAACATTACATAGGCATCTACCTATTAGTCCTTTGTTTTACCCCCTTGATTAAAAGTTTCCAGGTTTTAATGCTAGATTAGCTGAACCAACAAGATCAGGTGGGCCAGAGATGAACAGTGAAAATTTCAGGAAGGATCGTATTATTTTTCTTTTGTTATCACATGTGTGTCAGTGGGTCCTTTTTTAGTGACCTGCAAATGATGCTAAAATCAGTGGTAATTTTGCATATGGTTGATATTTCCAGGTGTACTCATTCAAATAAGGTAATCAATTTAAATGCACTTGATTCTTGATGACAAGATGAATTCATCACTGCTAGCCTTCTCTTATTATATTGTCAGCAGGGGATAAATTTTAATAGATGTGAGAATAGAAGTGCTTTGCAAAGAACTCCCAGCATCGCTTAGCCGGATCTTGATGATGTAAGAAGCCACAGGTGTCTCATTGCTGATGAGGTTCTAGATTTATTATTTGGTTTTTTGGTTAGGCCTTCTTTTTTTTTTTGCTGACAGATTTTTGCATTGATAAGTCTCAACTTTAGTTCAAGCCACATCATATTTGATTCTAGCCATGGTGTAAGTAATGATCATATTCAACCTTTAGCATGTATGCGTTAAATATGTTAAATAGCTTAGATCCACAGATTTTGTTTCTTTTCCTTCTTCCCAGAATTAAGTTAAAAATTATTCTACAACTCCATAGATGCAGGAAGTAAGCAATTACAGGTATATGAATACCTCTTTTGTCCAAAGTAAATGGAATTACTTCCACTATTTTTTTTTAATCTACACTGCAAGAGTTATTTTCTGAAATATTTCATGCATGTAACACTCAAAAAATACAAGGGGCAAGTGCAGTTTCTTTATTATTTACAAGAAAGTCATCACAGCACTAGGTCTGATGACACTATATGTATGCAAAACATGAGTGCCTGATGACACAGTATGTATGCAAAAACTGTGCTGCAGGGTTATATTTAAAAAGGTCCTTGCTATAGGGATGGTAGATGCAGCAGGTGAAGATACACTAACTCCAGACATTTAATATTAACTGAATACAAAACTGCTGAGTTTAAACTATTAGTCTATAGCATGAATAAAAATTAGGCACATTTATTCTTACTCTTAAAAGCCTGATTCAGTAGGGAATTACTTTAAGTACTTTAGTAATCCCATTTACTTCAGTGGGACTACACATGAGCTTTAAATTAAACATCTGCAAGATATCTGTGCTCAAATAAGGCAAAGCTCCGAAGACTGTTCTCAAGTGTTTTTCAGAATGGAGGCAGGATGTTTCACTGATGAGCTCCACGCCTCACATGTTGTATTGGAGGAGTTCACACACAGGACTGCTGTGAGGGAGGCAGACATCCAGAAGTAAAGGTAGCACAAAACACACAGTGTAGAAATTTCAAAGGCAAATAGGTCTTTTCTGGCTCCATAGGAACAGCTACAATTTTTATGTCAGGTTATTTTTTGTGTCTGGAGTCTATGTTAAAGTTTTTAAACGTAGTTCTATATAACTTTAACACAAATAATTTTGTCTGACTTCTAGAACAGGAACATAATACTTTTTCCTTATACACTGTAAATCCACTTAAGTTAGTGTAATTACTGAAACAGTAATTCTAGAGGATTTCTTTTTCAAAAACTCTGCTATAATATTTGAGCAACCTTGTGTTATGAATCTGCTCTCCTGGGTGTATCAGTGTCAGTTCTACCTCACAGCTGAAGCTGGGACCTAGCCAGTAAGACAGCGTATTTAATTCCAGCGATATTGTGCTTATTCAGTGAATACAGTTATTATTTTCCTTGCAAAAGTGCTGATAAAGCTTATAAAAAACAAAAATACAGATCCTCTTCTAACTTGAAAACAAGATGAGTATGTTCTGTACCCAGGCTTCTATTTTCAGCATTGTTCCAAGCAACTGAATTAGATTTGAAATAAAAATGCAGTTTATTTTTTTTAAGGAAATGCAGCATTTATGTTGAACACCTTTGTCTCTGAAGTGATTTTAACAGTAAGAGAACTCTCTATACAGTGTGTTGGAATTATTTTTTTTTAATGCATAAAGATATTACAATATTTTATTATAGTGGAAAAAATATTATATATTGTTTCTGTATCCTATCAACATTTGGAGTTGTGTTGTTGGTTGTTTTGGGGTTTTTTTAATACATATCTATACCAAAAAAAAAGAAAAAAAGAGTGGATCACTATACTTTAATCCATTTACAAACAAAAAAAACCTAACTCCAAATGTGTTTTATTTTCTTCTTGATTTGAAGAA